ATCAATCCCATCAAAATATGATTTAACTTTCAAGGGAGGCCACTTCAAATTTAGCTTAGCACAGCCAGCAGATATTCACAGGGAATATCCTGAAGCACTGCCTGCCATAAATAAAGTGCAATGATCTTAATTAAGAGAGAAATCTGTGTTTTCTCCAGATGGATATTATTACAGAGAAAGAGGAAAAGACCTTGTGTCGGAGAGCAAAAATCTGTCTGTATACATCAAAACAGGATCTGACACGTACCAAATAATTTTATATATCTGGATTCATCTTTAGTGTGAAGTTACCTTTTTTGTGCTACCTTCTTCTACAGTGCAAAAACACAAGTCATTCACTGGAAATGAACGAATAAAAAGCTATGACTATGGTGTGGAGCGAACCAGGCACGTATTTGGACAGCAAATAGCACTAATAGAATTGGCAAGGATAAGTGGGAAACCTGGCTTTAACTCTTTGGAAAGACTCATCTCACTGTGAGCCACACATCATGATCAAGTGTGTTATTTTTCACACGAGACTTCTTTCTTTGACCCTTCATTTGGGTCTCAATATATTTCCATACTGAATCAAGAATCAGTCATCCTCAGGAACACCAGCAGCCAGCACATTTTTCAGTAACTTTAATAAAAAATTAGTGTTATATTCTGACTACCTCACGGTATAAAAATGGTGAGAAGAGCCTTGCACACAGAAGGGCAGCATACATTTCTTCTGCCGCTCTCAGTATCAGTTTCTACCATTAAGTATGACTTTATGAATGCAAATCACCACCTCCTCTCCCATCGAAGAGCAAATGGCTTTTCCAAAGCAAGTAGGATTACTCTAAGTAATGTCAATATGGATCTGAATTACTTCCAAGAGCACCAAATCCAGATATTCTCTATTGCCTTTGACACCAAGCATCTCCAAATTAGCATTCACAAAAGTTACATGCCGTAATTGCAACCCAAATGTGCTGTAACCAGTTTTAAACCATGAAACCTCTCCTAATTTCTCAAGGAGCTTGGGATGATATCAACATGGGCTTGCATCTATATGAATCAAACTGCTTTTGCCAGGAGGTAAGAAGAGAAGCCTTTACTGCAGTGCAGTTTCTCTGTGTGCACAGAGAATGATTGGCTGTGGGAGACAAAGTCAGATGACTCTGAATAAGAAGTGATGTCAGACTCCTAAGACACTGGAACCAAGAAATTTCAGTGAGATATATTGGGAAGATATGAAAGGCAACTAGATTTGCTGTGCTTCTGCTGTGATCAGAGCCTTTTGGTGATAGTCACTAGTATATAAGAGGATCTGTAAGGTTTTTTGTTTAACACTTCAGTGTCAGGAATCAAGGTTTCAGATTGCAAGTAGCAATACAGGATGCATAACAATAAACACGAGGTCTTCTGACCAGCCTGTTGTCACAGGGTTGTGGTATAAGCCTTTGCAGCAGTATGTCTGTGCAGTGTCTAACACAGCAGCATGCTGACTTGACTAGAACTGCATGAGTAATACCTAATAACCTTTTCCTCCTCTTTTCATCATGCGTTTCTGTGGAAGTGCCAGTGATGTAACTTAAGGCTTCCCTGAGGAGTCATGAGGGATGGAAAGCAACCAGCAAAGACTGCTTTCCTTGGAGACAGCAAGACTCAGGCCCCGACAGCTCCAGGACGGAGACGGCAAAGCTTATGGGCTCCCTGGCAAGTGTTTCTCAGAATGTAAAGTCAAGAACTAGGCAGGATTTTCAGAGCCTTCTGCCAGCAGCCTGCACCTTGGTGAAATGTGACTCCTAAAGACTCCAGAAAACTGGGGATCACTGGGAAGAGGAGCTATCAAAGGCTTTACACCAATTTTACTATTGATTCAACCACTCAAAGAAATTCTCAGCTCACTCTTTAAAGACCTTGAAGTCATTAAGGCTTTCAAAGATAGAATCTCTTCTGAACAGGGACTATAGAAATGGCACTGTGGACTCCTGTGTGGTGTATTTCAAAGGCTCCAGATCCAGCGCGCTCAGTCTACAAAGATATTTGCTTTCTAGTTCCCAGCATTGCAGTTGGAGCCTGGGGGCTTTTCTATTTGCATATTATCTTGATTTTTTCTTTCTTTTTTTTTTTTAATGTAAAGGCTCTGCAGAACCTATTAGAAACTCAGTGTCAATTATGCAACCTGTTCTTCAGTGGGATAGACATAAATACCAGATTAGGTGGTAATAAACAGTTCTCTCAATCCTGGCCCAAAAGAAACAAAATCCATTTCATTCTTTTACAGCTCTGTTGACTTTATATGGCTTAATGGCAGCACATAAAGTAGTAAAGCTTATTTGTCACTAAACTGACTTGACTGAATATATACAAAAAACAGACCAGCTACGTAGGAAGGTGGCATTTCTACAAGCAGTTTTCCAGATTATAGCTGCATTTTAAATGTAAAGGTATTAACTGTTATAAGGTAAAATTATTCTTAAAAACAGGTATTAAAGACTCCACAGAAACCAGTTTGTTCTTTCTGACACTAGAAATGCCCCTTCCCCTGCTGGAATGGGTGGAAATGGAAAACAAAGTATCCCATCCCAATGTGGATCTTAACCTTATTATGAGTCAAAAGATTTCCTTCTTCCTACTGTGAAATATTATGAGTAGCAGTTTTCTAATGTGCACAGGTAGGACTGATACAGCAGCTGTTTGGACTGATATACCAGCTGTTTGTCATTTGGACGTTGGCAGCTCCTACAACATACCTCTGCTGTTCAGTAATAACTTGTTTTTCAATGCCAATTGCTATACACAAAATCACTTTTCAGATGGATGACCACTGCTAGCAGAAGGTGAGATAACATTTAGAGGACTAAATAAATTTGCCTTGCCGTTAATTACAACATTTAATGGTTTGCAGTGGGTGAAAACGTACGTCTCATTCCCAACAGAGCTTTCATTTGGCTAAGCCAGACATAAAGCATCTGATCCGGTGGGTTTTTTTTCTGCTCCAGTGTTAACTCTTTTCCAAAAATGATCCCCAAGGCTCATTCTCAGAATGCAGAACAATGATGAGGTCAAAACCCTCCGCATAGAATAGCTTTTTTTACACTGTTTGTTGTTACTAGACAAACATTGCACCAACCTCACAGAGGGGACTGCCTGTCCTCAAAGTCACAGAGAACAGTTTGCCGACAGTAGGCTAAATTCTGGCATCGTTCCTCTCCGCTCCTCTGCCTAAACTGTAGGTGAGCTTCCCTGCGTGCAAAAGAATAGCTCCTCACTCATACAGGAGGGTGAAATTTGGCATGGTGTATGTCACTACTACTTCTGGTGCGTGTGAACACACCAACAAGATGACTCAAAGTAAGCAGCCCCATTAAAACCAATAACCTTTCGTTTCTCTTCTATGGATTTATCTACGTGCTCTGCCTGTGCTGTAGCTGCCACACAATCCTCTCCTTGCTGGCCTTCCCTGTCCTCTGGCTGTTGGACTGAGGCTGACACTGTGACAGCCGAAGGGCCTGGCTAACCTGGGGGTGAACTGTAATGCACTATCTAGAGAGTGCAGAGTACTGGCTGGTTATCTGGGTAACTAAATTAACTTGTGGATAATCAGTAGAGTCAGCATTTCAGTATTTTTGTATGACGTGAATGCTGGAACTAGGCAAGAAACTGAGGAAAGAGGGATTTGCTGTGTGATGCCTTTAAGGAGAAGCTGGAGGTCTGCCTACCACTTAAATGAGTCTTCATGAGGAGACTGGGAATGATAAACCCAGAAAACTCAAATAAGAAATCAAATGAGGCCCCCCCCCTCCCCCAAAGAAAAAGAAAAACTCCCACTAGTAAATTTAAGGGAGAGAGATCATCTGAATTAGAGGAAATGGGCCAAATTCTGCTCTCAATCACACATGCATAAGTCTAGTACTATCCGTACTGTAAACCCAGAACAACTTTCCTTTGTGTACAAAGTGATGATGCAGGAGTCACAGGTCCAACTGGAAAGCAGTCCTAGCTCATTGACTGTTTCCTCAACAGTTTATTTCCTTTCACAGAGATACCCAAATTCAACCTAGATAACTGAATGGAAATCTAAAGAGAACAGAGTACTCTTGTACAGAACCTTTCTGTACAAGCTAGAAGTAAGATGACAAAACCCTCTCTCATAGTTTTTGGGTATTTCCACTACTGTATTTGGAGGACTCAGTATGGGCACAGGGACTGAAAGAAGAAAACAATCCAATGTGTGCAGAGAGGGGAGGGAAGGCAACGGATACGTTAGCCAAAACTCATGTAACCCCAAGCAAGGTGAGATGCAAGTTTTTGCAGGAAACTTTTTTTTCGTTCCTAGCAAAAATCTGAAAGTCCAGTAGGTACACAGCTCCTCCAGCCAGGAACTTAAAACCCTTCCCCAAGATCTGACCGGAACTAGGACAATTTACACTAGCTAAGTGTCTGGCAGATAGTATGCAGTGTGTCTTAGGGAAGATTTAGAATGGTCTTACCCCAAAGATACATGGGGAAGAAGGGAGTGGATGCAAAGGGGAATTAAATAGCATAGCAGTCCTGTCTCAATAAATAGCAGGAGACAAAGGGAGACAGCAGCTAGCAGGGCAGCATTCAGCTTCACTGCAGAAAAGGGACTGAAAAATCAAGAATCAAAGGCAGCAGGTAAACAAAAGAGAAAACAAACCAAAAATAAACCCCAGAAAAGAAAAAGAAAATCATTGGCCTGGGTTACAGTGAGGGAGGGAATCACAAGTGCAACACCACACCCTTGTGCTATGAAGGGGAAAGCCGTGGCAGAGTCTGTGCATTTGTGCATGGATAGGGAGGAAAGGAATAAGGGGGATGTGTTTGTGTCCACAGGGAAGTGAAAGACACAGTGGGCTGTTACGGGTGGGCAGTCGTGTAAAGAGCGTGGGAAGGTAGGAATAGGGAAGGAAAATAGGTGGAAGGGACGGGACGGCGCGTTATTATATTGTTCGGCAGGGGCTAGGGAAGGAGAAAAGGCAGAAGGGAAGGAAGGAAGTTCTTACCACATTTGGAAAGTCTGCCAGTCATCAACTCCATACAGTTAGTGGTGTCTGGATCATAGAACGGAAAGAGGAGGGAGGGAGGGAAAAACATAAAAAAAGGTTTCCATACCTCTGTGCATAAAGTAGTAACTTAGCACATTATTACCTGAAGCAGGAAACATATACATATCTTGGGCTTTACACAACCCAGGCTAAATTCTGCCACCCATTTAAGCCAGTGCAACCCTGGCCATGCGACCTGAGAGTAGATTTTGCCTCAGTCCCACTGCTTCCACCCACTTCTTTATCTTAGCTATAGAAATTTACAAGATGCAGGCAATGTTTGCCACTACATTAGCAAACTAAAAGCCTTGAAACACATTGTTTCACCTGGCCAAGCTTGTAAATTTTCCTGCAACGCCTAGGAAATGTCCAGCCAGCTGATCTATGTACATCAAAAGCCTGGAGACAGAGAGAAGATGTACCTATTGTGCTATTGGACATGGAATAAAGGGATTACGTAACAAAGCTCAGAAACATCTTTCAGACCCCACAGGATAACGTCCAAGTCCATAAATCTGCCTCTCTCATTCACATGTAATCTCTTACTTTTTTTGATTTCGATGGGATTGCTCACAGGCAACAGAACTACTTCTTGAAAAGGTGGCAGAATCTGGCCCTAAGACATTCCTGTCCGCTTTGTGTACAGCTCCCACTGCCACAGCCTCTAAATGCTCCTCACCCAGGTGCAGTAAGCAGAAGGAGCACTATATGTAAGATTGAATGTAAAAAGGACTAATTCTGCTGGACATCTCCATGTGGAACCACCTGGCAAGCAGAATCTACCATCAGACAGGATTCCCTTGCATTTGAGATCTAAATCTTTGTGCCTGTGAGTGCTGGGCAATGGGGAGCACCCACTGGCTGTTGAACAAGTGGATAATAGTTAACGCACTTAGTTCAATCTCAGATTTCTTCTTGCTTGGCCTCTCAATGAACACCCAGGTACTGAAGACTTCTTGGAAACATATGCCAAATATATGCCAAAAATTTCTATCTGCTAGGAAGCTCTAGCAACTCTTCTATCTGCTGAAAAGTCAGCAGGAGAGAGGCCAGGATCATTTCTCAGCATTCTTCCCCTTAAATACTGAAAAAAATAATTTCAGAAAAAAAAAAAGCGGGAGGGAGGCTATGTCTGGGTAGGCTATTTCCCCCAGTATTAACCCATGCTAGGAGAGTGTGGATGTGTTTTTTGATGCAGCCAGGCCAATGTTGCAGAGATCATGTGGGAGAGCACGGAGTAGAGAGGGCAGGCGCTTGGTCCAGTGACACCGGCCAGATCATCTGAGGAGAACCCCTGTGATCTCCATCCTCAAGGTCAGAGGCAGGCTAGCAAAGGGGAAAGGGAGATGATACCTATGGAAGGTATCTCAGAAAGGCATAAGACTTAAAGAAGGAGAGAGGGGAAAAAGGAAGGAGGTGAGGGAGAGGAGAGGATTAAAGATTTGGAACACGGTGTCAGAGGTGTCAAAGAGGCCAAGAGTTTACTTATCTTTGAAATTCATTGGCTCTTCTGACTGAGTGAAGACAAATTAAACTCCTACAACACATTCCTCCCTGAAGATACCTAAACAGGCTAAGAATTGCCTACAGCTGCTGGATTGAGCCAACGATCAGAAGTCACAGTCACAAGTTTGTATCAGTTTTTTCCTTGATAACCTGGAGAAGTTTGTTGTTTGATGCCTTTTAGCAGTCCAGCCCCATCTGGGTCAACTACACTTTGTTGTAATGCAATGTAATACAGCTCTATACTGGAAGAGCTCAGAGAATTCAGCCAATCATTAGCAGAACCTATGCTTTGAGAGAGTGCAGTAAGACCCATAAAAGCCAGGAAAGTCTCAAATACAACTGAAAGATTCCTTCTAATTCCCACCTAAATTACTTGAAATCTTTCCCTCAAGTGCATGAAAACTTACTGACCGCTCAGCCACTAGTGATCTGGAAATGAAAAGGTGGTATTTGGATAACATCAGAATAGGTAAAAACTAGTGATTTTACCGAGAGTATCCTGAAGGGAGTATTTCTATTTCTTTGTGATTTTTGAATTTAAAAAATTCAAGTTAATATTTGATTAGGTTAAGTTACTTAAGTTAACACTTCAGATGAATACTGTCTTTTTTCTAAGTCATTTGCAGTCAGCATAGCTCTTTTTAGTATTTCATGTAAAGCTAATTGTATAACAGATCTAAACATATTAATCATGTGTGATTAGAATACCATCTGACAGAGCTACAAAGGAAAAAAGGATTGTAACACAGGCTTTTGGATAACTTAATATCTTGGGCCCTGCAATCCACTTTGTTCCTAAACTACTACTTTTGCAGGTTACAAAATTGTTTTTGATGACAGGGAAAAACATAAAAACTCTTAGAATTTAAGACCACGGAAAAATATCAAAGGAAGACTTAATAAAACCTCTAATTTTTCTTCCTTAAAACTGTTATATGCAAAACTATAATTTGTATTCTCTGTACTGCATGGCCAGTCCCAGGAATTGCACAAGAATCTATTTTCGTTTGTATGTCTTCTCAATACATGATCAGGTGTTTTTTCCCTGCTCCTAAAGAGTAGGAAAAATGAGCACACCAGACACTAGCTCATATGACATCTGCTGAAGGACCAACAGAGTTAATACGCCTTTAGCCTCTCTCTTGTTATAATTACTTTAATACCTCATTTATTTCCATCCTGTTGTAACTTCTGCTCTAATAAATATTCTAAATGATAAAACATTTTATAATTTTAAAGGAGAACATTCATCCTTACTAGAAAGCCCCTTAGATGCTTGGCAGCCAGCTGCTGCTCATGGATAATAATCCATAATCCAGTGCCTGTATCCAGATGTTCCAGATATGGGTAAGACCATGGTCTAAAGGCCTTTACCTGTCTGAGAAGCGTTGATATGTCATGTAACTGCATTTTTCATGTGTGTTGTTTAATTTTTTAATTAAAGCACAGTGGCAGTTCCGGCTCTCAGTCCTTCTGATGATAAGTTATTTCCTTATTTCATAAGGATTGCTGGCACTCATTCACACTTTGGATTTGACCAAGACTCTCTTATGAATGACACCCAGTTCAGTTCATTAACAGATGGCAAAATGCTTTGCTTAAAATAAGACCTTCCTGACCTGAACATGTGAAGGCCAAACATGCCTTCTGCTAAATTTCCACTAAATTTTCTTTCCTTATTTTCTTTTTTAACTGCTGAATTTCTATGCTTCCTAAATTTCACAATCAAACAGCCTGGTTTGTGATGCTCCTGACATCTGTGAGACGGTGACTTGTCCCAGCCCAGGAAATCTCACACAAGCAACTGCTCCTCTGAGACCTTCAGAAAGCACTGAGCATCCTGCCAGATGCTTAAGAGTTCCCAGTAAACATTTCCATCAAAGGAGATGATGTCAAGGGAGATACCAGGTCCGTTGGTCCAAGGCAGTTATCATTTCCCCAGCCTTTGGGTGCTTATTTGAAATGCATTGTCCTATTAAAAATCTGGAGTGCTTGGATTTTTTTTTTACTTGTTTTATGTCAAGACTACTCAGTTAATCTCAATGCAGTCTGTTGAGCAATATTATTAAAACCGCTAAGCAAAAAAAAAGTGCTCTGCCAATCCAACCAGGCTTTGCACTGCATCTTTTATAAGTGGGAACTGTGATAGTAAGATTAAATGATTGCCCCAGACACAACAAGAATGGTAAGACATAAAGGATCTCCACAAGAATGCAGGGAACAATATAAACCTGGGAGCTGGATGAGTCCTAGACAAAACTGACTTGCAGTCCAAATCCAAAATTTCATTTGCATGGCCCTGTATTGGGTCTGCAGCTGGAATTTTATCTTTCAAAACTCTTAATTTGCTTCTTACTCTCTTTTTCTGTACTGATGGTAAAATCCTTTGCACATTTAGAAACTGTAAGTTTCTTACTAACTTTCTGTACAGATTTAACCAACGTGTGAGCTCTGTGAGCCGTCAAGATGAACACCCAGATTGTACAAATCAATACTGCAGCAAAGCTTTCTGAGCCACACAATTTTTTTTTTTAAAGATACATACACCAGCATAGTAAGAGAGCTTAGGAGCATATACTGAAGATGTATGCAATCAGAAAGAATTTGTACTGCCTTATTTCAAAGGTGGATGTGGTCTCTGAACACTTGCTTATGCTGATGAAAAGCATTTCCAACACTGAAAAGCTCTGAACTTTGAGGTGCCAATAGTTAAAATCTGACACAAAGCAGAGAAATATTACAGAGAAGCAGAAAACCTATTGGAGAGAAGTAAAAAAGGCTATTTCAGTATTGCCAATTGCCCAGAACTTGGGAAAACGGGAAAAATGGGGATACGTAGCACTCCACTCTCAAGACCAAATCATAAAGAGGCAAGAAAATACTAGGAAGATAAAAACTGATACCCTGAGAATAATCACTGATCCCTTTTGCATGTCGCCATTCACCAGCTGTTTCTGTTACTCCTTTGTGCAATGGCACTGGAGGCAGATAGTATAATTTAATGGAAAGTGCACAGGGCTGAAACAAAGGCAAAGATCTGAGACTTTTTCCTCCACAGAGATCCTTTTGTCTCACCAAAGGGCAGTTCTGCCCAGGGACTACCTAAGTACAGATTCTGCCTATGAGGCTCCTGGATGGAGCAATACATGGACAAGGTCAACTGCTTCCGTAGATAGGGTTCTTCGCCCTTGATCCAAGAAGGGCTGTCCTTTCAGAGCCTCACTAAGCATAATGGATTTTGTGATACTGGTATCAAGAACACACAGACAGCTTTTCTGGTTCAGATCAAAGGTCCAAACCATCCCATGTTTAGTAGCCATATATGGACACCCAGGAGAGTAACAGCCGGCCAAACATATATGACACTTCCCCCTAACACTACCTCACTCTCTGACCATTTTTAGGTCAGAGATTTGCGGAGCCTGCTGTGGTTTTCTCTGTTAAGTAATCCTCAGAAAGATTTCTCTTCTGGGGAGTTGTCCAGCCTCCCTCTGAATATGGACGTACTCATAGGAATATGAGTATATAGAAGCTTCTTGCGTTCACAACTTGCTTCAGCATGGAGTTCCACAGGCATTACCCACTACATGAAGAAACACCTTCCAAAGTTTGTTTTGTACTTGGCTTCCATGAGTTTTATGTGATGGCCTCTGGTTTTTTTAGCAGAAGAAACAAGGAACAATTGATCTGTATGTTCTTGTTCTATGCCAGTCATGAGTCTGTAGATCTGGTATTGTCTCAGCACTTACACTATGGTGGATTTAATGACCTGAAGTATCAAGAGAGAAGGCTGATATATTGTATTGAACTTGGCCAACCGGACAGTGGATTTTAAATGTATTAATTTAGCTTTTTGGATGGATTTCATTTATTTATACATTTATTTGGGAGAGGGAGGAAAGCTATTTTCCTGCTTCAGAGTATTTGAGAAGGAATAAGCACAGCCAGTCTTAGGAAGGGAAAATGGAAATGGATGGAAGAATATCCGTGAGAAAGGGAGATTACAGGGTGCTCAAGTGTACCATAGAAATACATCTGCCTAAATCAGGTATATATGTGTACACACACACACATACATACACACAGATGCACAGACAACACAATTATAAATCAGGTATATATGTGTACACACACTCACATACATACACACAGATGCACGGACAACACAATTGCAAACACTGTTGTGAGCTGGAGGAAACGAGACAGAGGAAAGTGCGTTCTGAAACCCAGGCAAGCCGGCTTAGTGGGCTGGCATGCTGCACAACAGATCAAAAGAGGGGCAGGAGAGAGAATGACTGTCGGTGCCATATGCTTACTAGGCCCTGCTATTCTGCTTTATACTGTTTATTGAATCTTCCCTTTCTGCAGTTCTCACTTTACAGGCATGCTTTTTCACAGATGGCTTTCATCATGCCACCTGTAATAGCACCTGAACTAAACGGCAGGTGAGACAAGAGGATATATCTGTGCACAACGACCTAAGGAAACATCCAGTGCCCTGGCAGTGGTACAAACAGGCCAGTATTGCTGGTCTGAATATCCTCAGAGCCAAGGAGGAGGGGACTCAAAGTAAACTGTCAATTCTTTCTGTTGCTGAAGTGGACTTTGCCTATAGAGCATCCTCAAAACACGACCTGAATGGGAATCCAACCACAACACCTGTGAGGTGTTCAGAGCTGGGAGAATGGGAGAAGAAGAGAAACAGAGAATTTGCCTTCTTTCTACACTGACAGAAAGTTGAGTAATCGCATGGCAGTTCCTAGGAAGTCCTTGTACAGACCTGCCCAACTGCAGCCATGTAGCTGAGCATGGTGAGGAATGTGAACTCAGCTCTCTCGCTGTCCCCTTATTCCTGTATTTCCTCCTACCATCTCACTACAGCTGGGAGATGCGAACCATACTTTGACACACAGGTTCTCTCTTTCTTGGTAACAATCTTTTTTTTTTTTTTTTTCCTTCCTTTCTCTCTTACACTTGGAGTCTGCTCCAAACTAAATTTTTCAAGTTCCACTACTTCTGTCTTCTTCAAGAGACACACACACCTTGCTGATCAGGACAGGTGATTAAAGGGTAGTTTGCCTCCTGGGTGTCTCAGGAGCTGTCCTGCTTGGATAACTCCGTAGCCCAGGGAATTCTCATTCTTAAGTTTCAAGAGATCATTCATTTTGTTTTGCTCCATGTGGAATTATTCTTCCCTCCTTGGCTTTAAAGATCAGGCTGCTTTTCCCTTGCTAGAATGACACACTCTAGCACAGCTTTAGGTAGCAGAAAGAGATTCAGCATCTATTATAGGATTTCTCCTTTCCAGAGCAAAACTATATGTCAGAGACATTTCTCACAGCACAGTTGGCCCTAAACATCTCCCTGAACCTCTGAGTCAGATGAATGTTTTTTATTCCTGCCATCATGTGACCTTCCTATGTGCATCACATGCCTGTGTGCAACAGGGTCCAAGTCCTTCTAGTCCTTCTAGTCCTCAGTAGCTAGCCCATACTAGAGTGATGATAATAAGAGAGCTCGCAATTTTATTTAC